TTATTGAGTTTCAGTGTGTTGTTGACTGACTTTCAAGTATTTACACATACCGACCTACCTACCTACCTATGTATGTTGTATTACCATGCCAGGCCTGAATAAATAATGAGAGATGAATCAGACAGAATGACTGTTTTTAATTGACATAGGCATACTCACACACATGTGTACACACATTCAGTCAATCAATACTTCACCTGCTCACTTCACATTGAATTGCACAAACTAGCTTTCATTGTAAACGCAATGTGACAAAGATTCATATGATGGTGATGATGGTGGTAGTGAAGTGTTAGAGAAACTGCTCTATGTGTGAAGTGTTTGTAATTGACGTGCGTGCTTGTTTGCGTTTGTGTATGTGTGTGTGTGCGTGCATGTGTTTTTGTTCACAATTTTATTGGATTCACTTGAATTTCTGTAGTTAGTATGCCTTTATTTGTTGGCTATTGCCTTGTTCGTTTAAAACAGTTCAAGAAGCTGTGGTATGACACTCTCGTTGGACTGGTCTAAGTCATTGATTATCCCAGTGTACGAGAATGGAGACGAGTTTTCTTGTGATAATAATCATAGAGGGAGGGATTATCTTGACCAGTATGGCATAATCAATAATCATGCTCAGATTAATTGATGCTCTGGAGAATAAATATGAGAAAGTCAGGTAGACTTCAAAGCAGAAAGGGAGTGTGTTGATCATATCTTCATCTTTTGACAGATTCTGGCATCCACCAATTAACATATTTCGTGACCTAAAAGCGAAATTTCACTCCGTCAACCGAAAGGTACTATGACAATGTTTGACCATGAAGGGAGACTCTGCCGAGGAAGTACATGGTACTCACTAATCAAACCACTCTGCACGAACTCATGCAGTCATGTAGGAGATTACAGAGAGTTGTCATCTGAAGTGACTATAACCAGTGGTGTCTGTCAGGAGGCTATGTCCACTGTTTAGCCCCACCATTGATATATTTATTTCATGGAGGATTTAATCATGAGCTGACACCAGTTAGAGAACCACTGGAAAACCTGGGAGTACTGGACAGCTGTTTCGTCATAGTTTGGGACTCTTCAGCAGTACGCACCCACCTATTCAGGCAGTTGACCTGCGGTTTTAGTGGGAAGCCGTGACCAGTAGGGTACAGCAGGTTGAAGATGAGGCAGTAACTCATCGAAGAAGACATTGCGAAGTGGTCGCGCTATGTCGTGAATTGGCAGAAGTTAGAATTAAAGGACCATTGGATCGGGTCCCAGTGGCTCAATGGTCTACGAGCTCGCCTTGTAACCAGAAGATCCTGGGTTCGAACCCCGATGGAGTGTGTACTGATGAAGAGTCCCAAACTAGGACGGAACAGCTGTTCTGTACTGTCCGGTTTTCCAGTGGTTCTCTAACTGATGTCAGCTCATGATTAAATCCTCCATGCTGTCTGTCTGTCTGGATTCAACATAGAACTTGGCACCGAAGTGCACCAGTTCGAGTTGCCACCTTCCAAATAACACACAGAGGTAGACAAGAAGATGAGTGAAGAGAATCAATACAGTCTGACAAGTATAAGAGTGAAACAGAATGGGTAATGATAGAAAGGAATATGAAAGATTACAGAGACTGAATACATCCTCCATGCAATCAAACAAAATCCCTACAAAACCAATACTTGAAAATATATTTATTTGTTTTTTTTTTGGCTACAGCTTGATTCCACACCGTATTTTTTACAGGTAAGGCATTTTCAGCATGTGATATCAGTAGCCCAAAATTTTGCAGACCGACCATAGATATCAGGTGTGCATCGGCAGGGGATCGAACCACGGAACATGTGCATGATCAACGAGAGTCCTAACCGCTGTGCCACCGATATATTTATTGGATCTACCAACGACTGAGGGACTGAAATGTTACCAGGGTATGCGAATGATATGCTTTTCCACCCTAGATGAAGACGCTGATAAAAATGCAGACAAGTTTCTAGTACAAAACAAGTTCTGAAGAACCATCACCACCATTTGACAGAGGTTACTTCCTTCGCTTAGCTAGGGAAGCATCGTTTCGACCAAAGGCTGGTGGGACGGATGAAAATGTCACGACCTGAATGGGAAAGCTTGGATACACCTTCATCGGCTTGGAAATCTTCTGTACTCAGTCAGGATCAACCAGATTCCGGTTTTCAGCACATATAAAGTCAGTCAGTGAATGCTTCTTTACTGACTCTAAACTTGCACTGTGTGTCACGAAAAGGATTTCCGACAGGCCACTGCAGACTTTTATCAACGACTGTCCTATTCCACTGGCTCCACACTGAAGATCAAATGGCCAACCAGCCAATCGACCAGCAAGAATTGTCAACGAGGAACTCCAGCTGACAGCAAACTAACAGGGAAGCAGCAACGAGCGGGTCGTCGGTGCGGGGGTGGAGTGACATGGAGGAGATTATGTAGTTAGGAGGAGATGATAGATTATTGGTAATCGTGGGGCTAGCCATCTGAAGAGGACAGCAACCAGATCCTCTGTCGATTTGAGAGAATTGCAATGGCCCCTGCCGTTTTGGACTGTTCAGTATCTAGAAACCTTCGGTGATGTATTCGACACTTGATGGATGATAGAGAAAGATTCTCCAGTGCTAGTTTTGTGGTCTATTTGGACGAGGTGTTGGCGCTTTCATGAACACCTTTATTATTTAACCACACTGGTAGGTGTTCTTGAGCATGGAAAATTAGTTTCCTGGAGCAATGGCCAATATAACTGGCTCCACAAGAGCAGACGAATTGATAGACACAATTAGAGGTGACCAGCTAGTCTAAGTACACTTTGTCTTTCAGTTTGGTGAATCACAACAGATTGTGTAGAAGATATGAACTAGAGCTAACCGGCTTTAAATGTTGTTTTTTTGTGGATCGATTTTGTCAACTTGTTGATGCTTATTTCATTTGGTATATCACCTTTGAATTGTATTCATTTATGTATATACAGGATTCTTGATCACAGATACTCAAGAGTTCTTTTCTACTTTCTAGGTCATGTGTTTATTAATGAACTTTTCAGGGTAGCTATACTTTTCCTACTGAAAATTCCTTTTTATGCTACTCTGGCCTGCTGTCGAACCTACAAATGCATAAATTCTGTGCTACATCTCCTAATTTACCCGATATTTAATCAGTGTAGTGTTGTATTAATGCAGATTATCTCTCTCTCTCTCTCTCGCTTACTGATGCTTTCGAGATGTAATCAGTCGATACTGTGTTGATTGATTCAATGTAATTAAAAACAGATTTATTAATTAATGTTGTTAATAACAATAATTCTTTAATTATTATTGTCATATAAATGTAGAATCTGATGAAGAAGAAGGAATTATCGAGTAGAATATTCTTTTGTCCATTAATCAGCGTATTAAACACTTATTTATATTTTCAAGTAATTGGTCTTGTACGGATTTTTTGGTTTGATTGTATGGAGGATTTCATCATGAGCTGACATCAGTTAGAGAACCACTGGAAAACCTGGGAGTACTGGACAACCGTTTCGTTATAGTTTGGGACTCTTCGCGTGCTACACGGAATGTGGCGACTTGAACTTCCGCACATTTGTGCAAAGTTCTGTGTCGAAAACAGACAGACAGACAGGGACTCTTCTGCAGTACGCGCCCACCGCGGGGGTTCGAACCCAGGACCCTCTGGTTACAAGGCTGGTGGTCTCGTAGACCATCGAGCTACTGGGATCCGATCGAATGGTTCTTGAATTCTAACTTCTGTCAATTCACGCACGACATAGCGCGACCACTTCGCAATGTCTTCTTCGATGAGTTACTGCTTCATCTTCAACCTGCTGTACCCTACTGGTCACGGCTTGCCACTGGAACCCCAGGTCACTGCCTGAATAGGGCCAGTTGCCATTGTGCATCAGATTAATTTTCAAGTATTGGTTTTGTATGGTGATAAGTGATTAATCCACTTTGGGATTCGCCATCTGGATGTAACTACAGTCGCCGGCGAGTGTTGTGTTCCCACTGAGACTCGAAACCAGCTCCTGTGTCTTTTCAAACGCCAATTATTTATTTATTTATTATTTATTTAAACGCATAAAAACTTGGTACAATATGGCACCAAGAAGGATACGCCACACAATAATAATAAAAAAACAGATCAAAAGAAAAAAAAGAAAGAAGAGAAAAAAATATTTTTATTTGATTACAGCTTGATTCCACACCACATTTTTGGTACAAGTATGGAATTTTCAGCATGCGATATCGGTAGCCCAAAATTTTGCAGGCCGACCATAGATATCAGGTGTGCGTCAGCAGGGGATCGAACCTCGAACCATGCACATGGTCGGCGAGAGTCCTAACCACTGTGCCACCAACGCACATAAAGGGAGGACCGTGAGGCCTCCCCACTAACAAAAACTACACGCTCGAATGCAGCCGATTAGGGTCCGTGGCGAGTTTCAACCCACCGAGGTGCATTGCTGAACCTCCACCCGGGGTCAGAGCGTTCTTCATTACCTTGAACCCGGCGTCTTTTGAGTTCTTTGCATGTAAAGTCCACTGTTTCCATAAGTGGTACATTAGTGAATAAGAAAGATACGTCAAATGATATCATGAATTTATTGTCAACATGTTAAATCTTTTATCCTTTCACCAACTCGGTGGGAAGAGGCTGTAAGAGTTCGACTAACACCATTTGGCTACGGGATGATGATGGTATGGTGGTGAGTTCAACATATTTAATACTGGTCGTCGAAGCGGCGGTACACATTAGGCTAACCATATAATCTTGCTGTGAATGTTCCAGTGGGTTTCAGTGGTGTATACTGACTGACTCTGTGAGATAAAGCCTTTTGTTGTTTCAGTCTTGCCAATATTTCCGCTAACTGTTTCTCTATGTTTTCAATCAGATTTTTTGGGATTTTAGATTATTTATCATTAAGAATACTATTCATCTCAAAGTAATCCGTTTTGTTCATGATAACCACTCCGTTTTACGTCTTATCTCTCTCTCTTTTTTAGGCAATCATTATGGTACACCGAGACCAGATCCAGATTCCACGGCATTGGATAGTCTATTCCTAGAACAATTCCTGCCGTCTTCATCGACAGATATTTCACAGATTAGTGATGATGCCTGCAAAATTCCACCACCATTACCACCGTTGAGTTCTTTTAATCATACATTCGCTGGGGGAGGTGTTGTTGTTGTTGGCCGGAATGATGCTGGTGTAAAACTCGGTGATTCTGTTCAACTGCCCACATGTTCCCCGCCACCTCCACCACCGATACGTAATTCTTCTATCACGAAAAACTCTACTCTTGCTTGTAATAACAATAATAGTAGTAGTAATATTAATAAATCGAATGGTTTTCTTACCACTTTATCTACAAATGATAATAATTATGCTACAAAAACATCAGATACTACTAATAAACATAATAATAGTAGTAGTAGTGGTAGTAATAGTAATCACAACAATAACAATATTGATAGTAAACATTTAAATGGAATAATTAATGATTTCGAAAGTAAAATCTATCTTCCTCGACCAAATTTCAATCATGAAACTAGTTTATGGTCACCGATTGGATCACGTACAAATGGTGATAATCAATCAGTACAAGAGATTACTAATACTTTAGGGGCTGTCGTCAGCACCACTGCTACTAGTACTAGCAATGCTGATGAATTAGACAGCTGTACACCTATTGAAGAAGGTATCGATAGTGTAAGTGGATACATTATATATGCCTTTTTTTAATGTTGTACATTGTTGTATTGAAGTGTCTTGTCTTTTTAATGTTGCTGTTTTCATGTGCAACTACCAGGTTATGAGTTATTGTTTTTTGTCTATGAGATCGCTTGTTAGTACCGAATTATCTCCAGGCTGAAGTAAGTCGAATGAGGTTTCCACTTGGGACCTACTGATTGAAAGTCAAGTGTCTTGAACCTGGGTATTATTGTCATTATTATTCCCTTGGGTTCTGAATGGAACATAGGGATTCAACAGTACATCTCCACATTGTTCTGTTGTCCTCTTCAGATGGCTAGCCCCACGATTGCCCATAATTTTTTATCTCATCCTTCAACTCGTGTGGTCTCCATATCACCCCACCCTCTCACCGACGATCCACTCATCGCTGCTTCCCATTGGGATTCCTCTCAAGCTATGACCTGAGCCATGCGCATTCTTAATGTATACCCAATCCGTCCATCTCCATTTTCGCCTACATATTTGTTGAGCAATCGATTCTTCGTTAGTTTGTTCGTTGCCAAAGTTTCTTGTCGTTAATTCTTGCTGGCCGATTGCCTGACTGGCCGTTTGATCTTGAGAGACAGTAGACAGGGATATGGGACAAAAAGAATGGTAATAACGAAGAACATTGAATGCATCTGCACCACTGAGAATTATATTGAGCCATACCACCAAATGTCTGCAGCTTTCTTTGGATTTTTCCGTCCCGAGACGTCAACCTTCCTGGGGGTCTGGCGTAAACTAACTGTTGTGGATTTCGTAGACTGATGAAGCCATGTTTTGTTTTGAACATCATTCTACTATTTTCCAACCTGATCCATCCTATACCAGTGGCTAATATTTCCTGGCGAGGAAGACGATGGCTAGGAACGCATAACATAACACATGTGCTAACTATCTCAATCGATGTAACTTCACAACCTCGTCAGTTGATTTCCCCTCCTTACCTAGCACTCGACTGATACATGCATTTCAAGAGCTTTGTTCCAATCCACTATAAAAAGAACTTAGTCAGAACACTGTTCAATAGAGCACGAAAAATTTGTTCTGACAGTACTATTGAGTATGAAATAAAATCTCTGAAGGATATTTTATCCAAGAATGGATATCCTGAGAGGTCCATTAATAGACAAATAAATAATAAATACCCCTGCAAAACAATCCAAATAGTTCCGAAGAAACCTGTCTATATCAGTTTGCCGTTCAAAGGAGATGATGTACAGAAAGTAGTTAAACGAAGACTCGACAAAGCCATCAAGAGAACTTATTATGCTGCAAAACTTAGCACCATTAAGCGAGTGCCTTGGGACGGTAAAAACCAATGGTTGGAAACAATTGGTGACATGGCTGAAAGTCTTTCTCAGTGGTGCAGATGCATCCACTCTTTGTGATTTCCAATGAAACTGTTTTGTTATTCGTTATTACTATTCCTTTGTCTCACACCTCTGTTTACTGTCTCTATTATGCATTTCTTCCCTTGCTTTGTGTGCTACAAGGAAGGAGTGTGGTGACTTGAACTGACGCACATATGTGCAAAGTTCTATATCGAAAATAGACAGACAGACAGAGAGCGTCAACAATTTGGGAAAGACCAATCGCCAATCCTCGACATCAATATGAGTGTGTTTATGGGAGGAAATAAATAGGTCGCACAGAAGAGCGATTGTCTACTAGCATGATGGAGCATCTGCCAAGGTGGTTGTAAACAGATGAAGCCAAAGTCCCAGAAAGTCCAGTGACAAAACAACTTGCAAACTACGGATATGATATTGACGCTGTCAAGTCATTCAGTGTTGTCAGCAGACAAACAAACAAGGAGATGCTTGCAACTTTGGAGGCTTGTGAGATAAGAGTTTATAAACCCGGTCTCTGTGTACAGAAGGAAATGGTTGTCACTCTAAATCCAACATGGGAATATATTTTACATATTGAGATTTTATTGCTTGTTTTAAACTCGACGGATACGTAACTTTAATATTGCTCACCATATTATACCACTGAACACGGGAAATAGAAAGCAGGTACATATGATCAAGGACAACTAGCTAGGCTTTCCACGCCTTCCACTTTCAATAGCCATGTCCCACACACAGCCATAAAGGAGAACGGAGCGAACTGCTGCTGAGCAGTACACCCGCCCTTTGATCGATAGCTACGCGGATAATACGTCTACGCCAGAGGCGGCGTTCTCTACCACTTCACCCACTCTGTCTAATCTAGGAGTTAATGTAGTCCACTCCTGTAACATCTTCTTACATTTGACAGCAGCGAATTGCGTGCCAATCATTTTCATATTGCAATTCAAGGTGTTCAGAGTACATCTGGGTCAATTGAAAACGATTTCGAGCCATACCACCAATTTTTTCCGGCCGTCATTAGGCCGTAGAATCTCAAAGATCCCATCATCCAACAAGGAAGTCTACACGTCCCTACGTGACTAGCTAGCTAGCTAGCTCAAACTAACTGTTGTGGATTTTTATGGGCTGATTCCATGACCATCACTACCATCACTAGCTCTGTTCCAATATAATAATAACAACATAAGCAGAGTAATAGAGTTGTCAGGTTAATAACTAAATAAACTTATTCCCAACATCACACCATTAATTAGAGGTAATTAAATGCCATTCCTTTTGTCTATATTTCTCTGTCCATATAAAGAAAAAAATATGAATTATGAATATGTGTATCCCTTACTTACTACTTACTATCCAGGGAAAAAGAAATCTCGAATAATTAAGACTTATTTGTTTGTGTATATTAACTCTTTATTATTAATGATAAAGTGTTGTGTATCATCATCAGGAGGAGGAAAGCAAACCTGCCGCTTCCCACACCACCACCACCAACCATCCTTTTCTCCTACAGTTTCTTTTTCTTTCGTGTTGTAAAGCTTCTTTACGCGGTATACGACGTTAGTTTTTTCTTTTCCACATAAAAGTCATACATCTTCTTACTTCCTTTATTCAATGTGTCTTCATTAACTTTACCACACTATATATATATATATATATATATATATATATATATATATATATATATATATTAGTCTTTCTAGTCTTGTGTTTTAATGAGGATACCTACCTACTTGTGGTCAGTGCAATTATAATTCACATTTCCTGTTGTTTTTTTAAGTGTTATTTGTACAGACTCAGATGCAGACAGGCGCGCGCACACACACACGCATACACAATTACAGACGCATGAAAACGATGTACACGCATTTATGCGATTATTTATCGTCATCATCACCATCATCATCATCATCAAAGCCGTCAACATCATCTTGGCTGACTCTCTGTGTTAGCGCTTTCTACTTTTACAGTGTGTGTGTGTGTATGTGGGTGGGTGTCGTGGTGCCCCCCCTCCCTTTATAAGAAGCATTATACACACAGGCACACATATACACAATTGTCTGTGAATACGTAAAACATACTGATGTTAACGATGTCTGTCAGTCTGTCTATCTATTTCTGTATATCACGTAGGTGGCTAGTTGGTCATAATTAGTTTCCGTTACACACACATACGTTGTATTGTACAATCGATTTAAAAGTCTGACATTTTTATTTATGATCAGTTGGTGTGATTTTATCCTTTTTTTCTTCATATATATTTTTATGCCTTATTTTGTTGCTTTTTTTCTTTGTAGAAATGACTCTTTTTGTCTAAATTTATTTATTTTTATGCTTTTGAAAATTATCTTATTTTACCAAACTGTTGATGATGAAATATGCACAAGAATGTATATGCATATCATAAGTACAAGCGTATGTGTGTATGTCTGCGCACGTGTGTTCGTGTGTTTATGCATATGTATGTCTATCAAGTAAAATGACAACGATAGAGGCTGCAGTCGATGGTTCAGTGGGGTCCGTGTCCCTAACCTCCCTTATCAGGTTATAATGCCGACAAAGAAGAGGAAGTTGGGTGTTAGGTCAATAACCCGACCCCACTTGGAACCCCATGTTCCACGGGAAATTCAAAGGAGGTTGAAGCTTATTATTAGTACAACTATTGTTGTTCTCTTGACTTTCGGGTGGAACACTGACTCCTAGCTTAAAGATAGGGAATGAAGGGGGTTGGAGCGTGTTGACCGCTTTACTTATTTCGGGAATTGTAGCAGCCAGTCCCAGGTGGTTTGATCGCTGAAGAAATTTCAGCACGACTTGTTACCAGGGTATAGTCTTATGGACTTAAAATATGCAGCTGACATAGTCTTGTTTGGGGAGAATGCTGACAAAATGCAGAGTCTTCTGAACACCTTGAGCAGCAATCTTCGTATGTTTGGCATGCGATTCACCCCTGCAAAATGTAAGATGCTGCTACAGGACTGGACTACGTCAACTCCTAGCTTAGTGCTAGGGAGTGAAGTGATAGTGCGTGTTGACCACCTCACTTATTTGGGAGGTTGTATTAGCACCAACGGACTGACTGGCGATGAAATCTCAGCACGGATCCGAAAAGCTCGAGCTGCTTTCGCTGACTTACACCATCTCTGGCGTAGGCGTGACATCCGGCTATCAACCAAGAGACGTGTGTACTGCTCATCAGTTCGCTGCGTCCTTCTCTATGGCTCTGAAACATGGCGAATACGCGTTGAAGACATGAAAAGGTTGACTGCTTTCGATCATAGATGTCTGCGATCTCTGTCTCACGTTAGGTGGTTTAATAAGGTAAGTAATGTTGACGTTAGGCGTAGAGTGTTGGGCAAAAAGGGAAAATCAATCGACGAGGCTATAAAGTTACATAGATTGAGATGGTTAGGTCACGTGCTGCGCATGCCTAACCACCGCCTCCCTCGACGGGCATTGCTAGCTGATATAGGTGAAGGTTGGAAAAGAGCCAGTGGTGGCCAAACAAAAACATGGCCTCATCAATCCATGAAATCCTTGACAGTTAAACTGAGTCAGGTATGGAGATGCAGACTCCCGGGTTGGGGGCCTCGGGACTCTAGGAATCAATGGCTGGAG